TTTTAAAAAGGGCTTTCCTTGCCTGTTCTTGGAGATAATCTATGTGTTTATCAAAATTAATGTTATTATTAAATATGCAGCCCAAATATTTATAGTGGTTAACGCTTTCAATAATGTTGTCATTAAAAGTGAATTGCACATTGGATTTTGAATTAAAAATTATTGATTTCGTCTTTAATGTGTTAACAATAAGGTGATACCTCTTACAGAACTTAAATAAACAATTTAACATTTTTTGCGCTCCATCTTCAGTATTTGACAATAAAATTAAATCATCAGCCCAAAGTAAATGGTTTATCTTATCACCGTCAAATTGAAGTCCATACTCCTTCGGTAAATAGTCTGACAAATCATCAAGAAAGTGGTTAAATAAATAAGTACTAAGGACAGAGCCCTGCATTACACCGGCATCTGTCTCAAAAGTAGGGGTGATACCATCTTTGAGTTTGAGGCAAGCTTTGGATTTTTTATACATACTGGAAATAATTTTGAAAATATTTGAACTTGGTGATATACCTGCTTTGCATAGTTTATACATTAGTGCAGACCTATTTACAAAATCAAACGCTTTTTTGAAGTCAATCATAATACAATATACTGGTTTCTTCAATCGTTTATAGTGAGATATAAGAGTGCTTAAGATATATAAATTGTCACTTGTCTGATGTCCAGTTTTATAGGCACCTTGAAGTGGATCTTGGGTGTTCAACATTTCAGCATTGAAAACAAGTCTATTCTGGATGACTGAGTCGAACACATTGCCTATACAAGCTAAAACATTTATTCCTCTATAATTATCAGGATCAATTTTACTACCTTGTTTAAAAATAGTTGACAACATGCCTATGCTCCATTCATTTGGGTAATCTCCACTTAGAAAAATATGATTAAAAAGAGCAGTGATATCAGGAACAAGTGATATGCAGTTCTTAATTATGCTTGAGGGTAAACCATCAATCCCAGCAGATTTATTATCATTAACTTTATTTAAGGCCGTATACACTTCAGATTCTTGAATATTGTTATTTAGGACATTATCACTCAATTTCCTTTCATCTGTTAAAATACTGTTGACATCATATTCATTAATGAACATTTGCATCTCAACTAGTGCCTCATGATCAAAATAGTCCATACTAGGCAATTGACCAAGATTTTTGAATGCTCTGAAGAGTTCTGGAGTTTGAATTGGAATTTCTGTTAGCTGTTTATTTCCAGGCATAGATTTAATCATTTTCCAAAATTCTGTTGAATTATTTGATTTAAAGAACATAAGGGACTTTAATTGATCTGACTGATACCTTCTTTTTTCACGTTGTTTGGTTTGATTATATTTTTTCTGAATTTCATCTGTCACACTATCAGGTAAGTTTTGTTTAATAGCTAAGTGGAAGTCCTTTTTCAGTTGTTTACATTCACTATTAAACCATGGGTTCACTGGGAATTTTTGAGTTTTTTTCTTAAGACACTTAATCTGAAATGTATTTTTAGAAGCATGATAAATAGTACCTTTAAGATCCTGCAATAGACTATTGGAGCTGGTATTTTGCCACATATTAATGTAAAACTGATCAAGAAACCCATTGTTTAAGTTATCCTGTAATGCGTCAGTAAATGTTTCTTTTAAACTGCGATCCCATTTAAAGTAGGTGTAAGGTAAATTTTGAACAGTATTGTCTTCAATATTTGTTACTTTTGGTTGATTTAAATTAAGTGTGAAATGTACAGGTGAATGATCAGAATCAGGATGCCTGTCATGAACTTTAAAATCAGTAAACATGTGGAGTAATCCAGATTGCGAAGCTACATAATCAATAACCGATTTTCCTTTCAAAGGGTCATTATCATTTTGTTTCAGATATCTAAAGTATGTAAATTTACCAATACCTTTATCATGGAAAAAACGTCCATTTAAAATTCTTAGATCAGAGGCTTTACATAAATTAATAAAGTCACGACCATGTGTCTGATTTACTGCTTTGATGTTTTTATCCATTGAAAACCGGTCTGGAATAAGGTCAGGTTTTTGTGGATCATTTCTACACTGATCATTAAAAAAGTACGAGCTAGTAAATTTATCATCTGATCCATATACAACAGTATTACAGTCAGATAAAGTGGCAGTACGGGCATTCATATCCCCACAAATAATTGTTTTACCCGATGATTGATAAAAAGCTATCGATTTTTCCAAAACATCAAAATTGTCAAAATTTTCATAAGGTGAACCCTTATGAGGCATATAAATGAAGCAAATAAAGATATCATTTTCCAGATTAAAATATGAGGATTTGATTTTAATCCAAACATAAAAATCATGAGTTTGTTTTAATACTTCAATTGCATTATTGTAAAAAGTGTCTTTAATAAAAACAGCTAAGCCACCTGAATATGCATTTGAATTATGATTTTTATGTTTCCTTGCTAGATTATGCACAGTGTAACCAGAAAAAGACAGGGTTTCACCAGGATTCAACCATGTCTCACTTAAAAATATAATTGCATATTTGCTGAAAAGTTCATTTATAGTATTGTCATTATGTAATTTGTCTGAAAGTCTATTGATATTCCAAAATAAACAACTTAAACCTTGATTTTTCAATGAACTGTTCAATGAGCATTTTTTGGGTTTAGAGTTATTTTGATCAACATTTCTTGCTTGGCTGCTACTCTCACTACTATGCTCTAAACTTGATTGCATACTACATTTACTAATACATGATTGCACTGTATCAACATGTGATTGCTCATTAACATTAAGTGACTGCACATTATTAACATGTGTTTTTAAGGAATGAGATTTCTGATTATGAGCACATAATTGAACATTATTTACAGAAGGTTGAACATTATTTACAGAAGGTTGGACATTATTAACATATGGTTGAGCATTAAAGTCAATAACATGCTTGGATTCTATAATGGAGTAAGTTGTTATAGTATCCAAATTAGTATCATGGATGCAATCACACTGATCACTGTTTAAAACTTGGGGATGTATCGAGAATTGTGAGGGTTTACCCTTTCAGCTAGGACTGAGGAATAAGTCCTCAAGCCTGTTGAAAGTCCATTCTTCATGGTTGAAATCATTGCATTCACCATGCTGTCTCTACCCTGGAAGTTGAAATGCAATCTATCTCTAAAGAGAACACTAAAGTTTGGGTGGTTGGCAGTTGATCTATTGATCTTGTTGATGTCAATGAAACCAACATGTTGTTGATGGCAAAACGCTTCCATTGCACAGTTAATCTGATCAATGTTACAGTTCATCTGGTAAATCTGTTCATCAGAATTAGAATCACCTCTATGGTGTAGTCCAGCAAGGATGAGTTTTGATGTTTTGTGGCGGTTTCGTGCAGTCTGTATGAGATTTTTAAGTCCATAGATAATCTCTTGTGGGGTATCAGTTTGAACGTTGTTTGTTCCAAATCCTAGGATTTTATAATCTGTAGAAGTTGGTATGTCTCCATTTTGTATCACATGGGTGGCATCTTCTACTCGGGCTCCACTGTACACTGAAGATGTCACCTTGATTCTGCTTTCCTTGCCTTTCATTATACCAGCAAGTTTTGTCCCATTTGAGCTGTACATAATATGCACTGTGGGAGGGGGTGGGGGAATAATGTCTGTAATTCTCATTAGTGCACGGCCTGAATAATCAAGCTCAGATTTGTATGCTGAAATCCTTAAAAAGGGGAATAATGTCTGTAATTCTCATTAGTGCATGGTCGGAATAATCAAGCTTGGATTTGTATGCTGAAATCCTTAAAAAGGGGAATAATGTCTGTAATTCTCATTAGCGGATGGTTGGAATAATCAAGCTTGGATTTGTATGCTGAAATCCTTAAAAAGGGGAATAATGTCTGTAATTCTCATTAGTGCATGGTCCGAATAATCAAGCTCAGATTTGTATGCTGAAATCCTTTAAAAGGGGAATAATGTCTGTAATTCTCATTAGTGCACGGCCTGAATAATCAAGCTTGGATTTGTATGCCGAAAACCTTAAAAAGGGGAATAATGTCTGTAATTCTCATTAGTGCATGGTCGGAATAATCAAGCTTTGATTATTTTGTTTTATACTTGGAAAATAAGTCATGTTATGAGTAGATTACCATAGCAACAACAATATGTTACACCACCATAAATTGCTTCTCATGCTATCACTTCTTTACTCATGATCTGTCAAACACAAGAACCAATATAAATATCAGCACTTGAGAGCTATCATAAAGATCAGGTGTGGTTATAATGGGTTCCCTGAGGGTATAGAAACACAAGGAAGGGGGGGGGGGTATTTTAACAGAATATAATATATTTTGCAAAACTATTTTTGGTGTTGTTTACACTAAAGGGAACAGGTGTTAACACTATTTATACAAATACATTTTAATTAACCTTGTTTCGGCATTTGGCTAAAATAACATTTTTCCTTTCTGGTGGTGCATTTGCGATAACAATATCCAATTTGCAAATAACAATTATTGCCCTACTTTTTTTCTGATACTGCAAACAGGAAATTGGTGATATCATATTTGAAAATACATGTTAAATTACAGCTAAAAATATGAATTAAAAAATTGTTTATCAACTTGAAAATTCAAATGTGAATTTTAGGTAAGGTAGATTCTCCAAAGACCCCAACAATTTTGAATTGAAAAAAAGATATATTTTTCTATAGAAACAGGATTTATATAGTTGCCCAAGTATTTGGAGCTCCAGAAGTGCTTTTTGCATTTTATATTGTAGCTATTACTATTATCACAAATGTTATATGTCAAAAGATGTCAAAGGAGTACATGTTAAATAAGTGAAGCAATATTTTCGAAAAGGATGCAAATTTTTCCATTACAATACTAATTCTATTTTCTGAAAAAGACACGAGACCAAGTTTATTGAAGGTTGAAATCTAATAAAAATAAAGACAGTTTTAAGAAATTCTTCTCAAGTTATCCATATCCCTTCTACTTTATGTTAATAATGTAGTTACCAATGTTTTCCAGACAGCAACTCCCAAAGAACAAGGACCACTCAACCACTCAACCAACATAAATAAATAAAGCTTGGATTAACATAGAAATTGTTTAACACATATAACCTGGGATCGACATACTTTTCCAAATCTACTGAAAAATTAAGATATTAGAGAGATATTATGAGAACTTTATGATCAACCCTCGTATGTAACAGGATTATCATACCAGAGCAACAAGCGCACCTACGCAGAATAAATATGACGTGCATGGCAGAGGAATTAGAACCATTTCCTATGAGCTGGAAATATTAACTATTATAAAATAGATATTGATTTTTGCCTAAACTTGAAAAATCAGTCCAACATAACAGAAGAGTATTTAAAGTGACAAGTGAACAGATTGGAATAACAAAATATCCTAATAACACAAAGTCTTATAATTCTCTGATTTGACTGTCAGGAGGCACACGTTTCCCTGGCAATGGCTACGTACCCAGGATCTATTAGGCTTAATAGCCAAAGGCGATATGGATCTATATCAGCCTCAATAGGGTATAGACAAGGCTGGCCACATACTTGTGTGAAATGTATCTCCATAATGAACATCATATTGGGAATATTAGCAATTGCAATCAATGTATCTGCAAGTGAGTTAAAAGACAAGCATTTTCTCAACAGTGCTACAGGCCTATGGGGCGGAGCTGTCATTATATTCACAGGGGTCATAGGAATACTTGCCTCAAAACATAAAAATGACACTTTCATAGGTATGTTAGATGACATTTATTTCAGTAACTGACTGAACTAGATTTGTATATTTAAAAAAAACATCGAATGAAAATAATCCCATAGGCAGGTGAGTACATATATTTAATAATTGTAGACAAGCTGTAGACAATTTGTGACATAACAAATAGCAGGATACTTATAGTATTGGGTGACGTTGACCTACTGAAACTTTAGCTATATTAGCTATAGTTCATAAATGACCTTATAATTATCTCATCAACAGAACTCTTATTACATGTTTTACTGACCTTTCATTACCTCTTTCATAGACTTCTTATTCCCTCTTTCAGACTGCTTATTACCTCTTTCATAGACCTATTATTACCTCTTTCAAAGACCTCATACCTTGTATTACCTATTCCACTACCTTTTTATAAACCTTTCATAGATTTCTTATTACCTCTTTCATATAACTCTTATTACCACTTCCAAAGACCTCATACCTTATTCTACCTCTTCCACAGATCTCTTATTACCTCTTTTATAAACCTCTTATTACCTCTTACATAGACCTCTTATTACCTCTTACAAAGACCTCATAACTCATATTACCTATTCCACAGATCTCTTATTACCTCTTTTATAAATCTTGTGTTACCTCTTTCATAGACTTCTTATTACTTCTTTAATAAGCCTATTATTACCTCTATCATAGACTTCTTATTACCTCTTTCACAGACCTCTTATTACCTCTTTAATAAACCTCTTATTACCTCTTTCATAGACTTCTTATTACCTCTTTCATATACAGCTGATTACTTCTTTCACAGGCTGCTTATTACCTCTTTCACAGACCTTATTACCTCTTTCACAGACCTATTATTACCTCTTTCCTGTCAAACTCGTTCATTGTGATAATGAAAAGGTATGAGATCAATTTGAGAAATTTGTTACAGCAATAAACTACATTATTATATTGCTTACTATTTTACAATGATATATGATGTCACGATACTCTATTCAATAATTAATTTTAACGCAACCTAATCTCTTTAAAATAATAATCAATTTTTCACAAATGAGCCAGTGAAAATGTTTTGTTTTTGATATATTTTTTTAATATTAATGACATAATGCACGTAATATTGATGACTGACTGGATGGATGAGCAAACACAGATGAGCAAAAGCTATAATAAAATCATATGTAGAAATAAGCAAAGCTGTCATCATATCAATTGAATTGTTTTTACTTGCAGGTGTCTGGCTGTTGTTCAATGCCATCTTGATACTTGTCTCCCTGTGTATAATAGGAATCCACATCAAGGGTGTCATTCAAGTACGAAGCAGCATGATACTCAATATTAATAACAAAAACACCAGCAACAATAGCCACATAGATCCCATTCAGGGGAACACTACATCGGTTTCAACTGAACACACATCGGCACATGTAGTAGGAAAACTCATTCTTAATTCCATTATGGCTGGCTTAGGAATTGTAGCATTCATTCTTGGGACAGTATCTGTGATTTTGTCAGGGAAAATTGTTTGTTGTATAGAGAAGCACAATAATACATTCGTCCCAAAATCAAGCTCATGTCAGGTGTCAGGTTCCTGTTCGAGTCCAGCATAATCAGCATGGATTGTAATAACTCAAAGGAACTTCTAATGAAAAGCAAAACGCCAAGAGTAGTATAATAAGCCAGGCATGAAAGTGTGCTAAGTTCAATACCTAGGACCCAAGAATCCCAAGAGTGGTGCTCTACAAACTGAGCAATGAGAGTTTAGCCAGTATTATAGCTGTGTTGTTGTAGCATGCAATACCATCAAGGGTCATTATAGTACTGTCAGAGACAGAGAACACTGAATGTAAACATCACATCATGGCAAGCTTTGTATTAAAGTCACGAGAAGTCTCGCTTGGTCCAAGCCTATGATTGGTCCAAACATTTCCCAGAAAAACTCATATTCAAATTTTGAAGAAGGTAGATGTTTGTGGAACGATCCAAAACAACCTCCAATTTAGGATAAATGTAACTTCTAGGCCAATGCCATATCACATATAACTTCTTGGACCATTCTCATACCAGAAGGTAGGAAATTCTGACCATTGTCCTACCTAAGATGTCATTTGAAGCATAAGTGCTTTGCTAATACAGGTAGTTATTTATGAAGATCAAATCTGCTTTGAAAATACAATAAAACAAACATATTTTATTGATAGAATATCTACATGTATATGTAATTCATGAAATGTTTTGCTTAATAAAGTGTATAAGAATTTTATCTATATTAATGTGAATGGTAAAATTATTTGTTTATGAATTGCAACATATTATTATGCATTTAATAAAGAATATAAGGAGATCGGATTTGTCTCATGCTTACACAATTGACATTCCAAGAAATGGCAAGCAAATACACTGCAGCATTGATATTATTGTGTCATTGTGAAATCACTGACATGACATTCAGTAAAACAATATAGAAGCAGTGATTCGGATATAAAGCAAGATTGAGAGGTTCTATGTGCATTGCATAAGAAACATTGTTCTTTTCCCTTCAGGAAATTGCAATTGTAAACTGCGACAGTGCTGTTAATAAGACATGGAATTCAATATTGAGAATTTACTAAAAGCAATTATTTCAATAAAGACCCAAGTATATATTATTAAGGTACAATGCTGTAAGTCATGGGCAAAACTGCAGAATTTAAATATCTAAACCAAATGCCAACCACTGGACGCCATAAAAAAGATTTGGAGACCATAACAATATGTCACCACTTGTGGTGGTAACAAAACGATAATCCAAAGATCCATAATGGACCATTTTGTTCCTGTATAATTTTTGAATTAATAATTAGATTCATGCTAGATCAGCATTACATTTACAAAATATTAGCTTCTACAAATATCTGAAATGATGAACTGATGTGAGAAACATGTTTTATATGTTATGATTCTGAGAGGGTTTTGTGTTAGTGACTAATTATACCAGCACAAAACATTCAGATGCATCTGACAGTAGCTGACAAATCAATAAATTAGATGAATGTCATATCATATTAAGTATTGGTGTAAATAAATGTAAAAATGAGTACCCTAGGAGCATAGATCCTATCACTGGACGCATCAATGAAAACAAGGAGGCAAACCCATTAGATTGATTACTTCATCATTTTCATGCAAAGCTAACAAAACCTTACATAACGTATTTTACCTTCTCCAGGCCAACTACCCCCTTGAAAGCAAACACCCTATATACAGTATGTGTCCTCATGTGGAATATGTAGGTATTGCTCACCTTCAATAGTGATAAACTAAAAAACATGAAGCACCCAAGGGTGCGATAACAAAAAAATAGCACAGTATAATATTTAAATAATACAACAACACAGGATTATAAGTCATAGTTAATTCTATCTACTTTCTGAGATATATGCCAGGATGCCATGACAACCTGTAATAATAGCACAGTATAATATTTAAAGAATACAACAACAATACAGGATTATAAGTCATGAAACAGTTAATTCTATCTACTTTCTGGGATATAGGCCAGGATGCCATGACAACCTGTAATAAACCAATGAAATCAACATATGGCACGATATATACAACTAATAAATTGAATTCCAGGGGAAATTGTTGTCTTATTTTCTGATAAATACTCCAAAGCTTGACACTGATATAAATGTACCCTAAAAGCTAAATTTCCAATTAGAGAGCACTCTGCTGTAAAATTGTATTTATTTAACATAATTTCCCATAAACTATTCCATCTAAATTTCAAGCTAATTGCATTTTTTATTAATCTGTTATTAACAGTGAAACATACCCTGTATTTAGTTATAAACTACCCTCTGCCTAGTATACATAGTATAGACCATAATACAGTTTAGTAGCCCCGCCCCTACAACTTATGCTTGTGACAGTCCGGGTCATAAATCATTTCAAACCTACCACTGATTTTTTCTCAACCAATCAGCAAGCTGAAGAAACAAATGCTAATTAACTATGCTATGATGTCAGAAGAAATGACCATATTTGGAAAGTCGTCCATATTTCGATGATGAACTCTGAATGGCTTGGTGGGTTCAAAGATTTATTGTCATCTGAAAGAGTGAAGATAAAGCTCTCTTTTAAGAAGCAAAGTCAAACCAATGCAAAGGGTAAGTTAAACATTGTTTATCATTATCCCAATGTCATTGTTCTCATTCTCTGATTGGTTGAACATGCATCACATGACATATGAGGTATCCTACAATATTTCCTGCATGCTCACTGTTATTTGGTTTTAATATCCCTTCTCCCAGAGTGAGAAATATGACAGTAAGCACTAATTCTGGCAAGGAATATTTCTCATTTATTACAAGATGCACAGGTATTCCCCTTAATAGAAAGGTGCATGTATATGTACATACATGTATAAAATTTTTTATATTATATGTATATTTTATGTGCATGTATAATGAATATTGTATATTATTCTATCGAAATATTAAATAGAAAGCATACAATCCTCTTGCGATACATCTATATGATTCATGTCATGTAAAGATATGTATATTTTGTGATATATTTGTGATGAATAAATGTGGTAATGAAAAATGAGCTAAAAACACACTAATCACTAATCTTGTCGTCAAGGCACTTTATGATATATATTATTATGCATTTATAAATGTAATATTTATCAAATACAAGCAGAACTAATATCATGTTTTTTCTATTATGTCAAAATGGCTTTAGTATTTGTAAACCATTTGTGGCTTGCTCTTTTGATTGTAATGTCTATGAATTTTCAGTTTTCAGGTTTGGGTCATATTGAAGGTTGCTTTGTTTTGTATATTTGGTCTCTGGTCTTTTTGTGTGCCCTTATTTACAGAAGTTTTCTACTATACCATTAAACCCCAAAGGCCGGCTATCATAAAAATTCTACAAAAATTCCTAAAAGCCAAAGTAAATATGAATTTACATATAGTTCTGACAAACATCTTTAATGACTCAGTCACATGTGATCTATGGTAACAATATTGGGACTACAGTACAACAGATGTAAGTAAGGATTATGCAAAAAATATGAAAGTTGATCTCATTTGGGAACTTGTTATTTTAAATATTGCAGTCGCATAGTTCATGGATTATAACTGTTTTATTAGATGCCAAGAGGGATTAAATACGAGTCACTTTTTATTTAATATCAACATGATGATGTGGCAAAGTACTTCATTACGTGCTAGTTAGTAACAAATAAAACAATTTATATAGGAAATTGACTTCCTTTATAATTCATCATTAGTAAAAGCAAATATACATTTCAAAACCAGGGTAATAATATACATATTTCATAAAGTGTTCTCTGTGTATTGTGATAGAAGACTTGATGCATCTTTTCTACATCATATATCCTTCCCCAATAGTTTAATTTAGACTAACACTTAGGTCGGGCCTTAATGGTAACTCTTCAAATGATCAGTTATTGGTTCACAGTATTTGGCGCGTACCTCATTTGTCTCAGCTGACAATCTAATTTGTGCAATTATTCAAATGTAATCTGCAATATCCAGTTTTCATTTCTAAACAATTCGCAACTAGAGCTAGAACTATAAGGGCAATTGCACAGATGACATCCATAGGACTCGATAATTCAGGTTAATTGAACAAAAGCTTTGAAGTGAAGGATCCCAAAACAACATAGAATGTCACAATAGCTATAAAGCTGTAATCCCCTACGAACAAGATACAGCAAAATGGATCTTTGTAAGCAGGATACTAGGGATGCTTTAAGACGTAATTGTCAATTAGTGAGATCCTGATGCACCCAAGAGATATGATATACATATAAGGATAACCATATAAGGATAGTCACAGATCTGCAGGAAGTGAATTGTCTATTTTGCAAATACTGAAAATGAATAGGATAGTTGCAGATCTGTAATAGAAATCCATGGGAAACATTTTTAAAAAAGATGCTAATGTAAAGACCCATTCCTTAATTTCTCAGTGTGCACATGGACAGCCTGATTTGGAGACAGGACAATCACCATGACATCTTTCTCATAGTTCTTTACTAAATCTTTTTTCTACATTATACAATTAATATTAATGTCCATAACACAACCCTAAAAGAGATAAATCATTTGATATCCACATATTTATTTTTCATTTTATTTATTGACAATAGCTTTTGACATTCTTTTGCAAACAATATCAATGTGTTCTGCCAACATGTAACTTTATCATTTTCAAACGCAACATTGATGCACTAAGTGAAATAATAAATAAATAATAAATATCAGTTTACAACAACATTATGCATACATAGCGTATTTTCTATGATTTATGAGTAATATTATAATATCATATAACGAGAAATGATTTCAATCAAATAATTCAAATTAACCATTGTTACTGTCAGCCTCATTTTGGGTCAAGTAGTAAAAATCGGTGAACCATCAGATATGGTACCGTGATAAATCACATATTTGGGACAGGGGTGATTTCAGGGATGATATTGGGACTAGAGGGATAATATCAGGGATAATATGGAATTCATCCCAGGTATGTATTCAAAAATGTGAATTTTTTTAAAGATTATCATTTTTTCAAATCTTAATTTTTTCAAAAATGTCATTATAGTTTTGAGTCAATTGAGCCGTTTTAAATTTTTGTAAATTATAAAACCAGAACAACGGCAACGCCAAAGCGTAGCGAATCCCATCGAACAGAAATGGCTGGCATTTTTACAAACGAATAGCAAATATCATAAAACAACACACCAGAAAGGCCACCATTTTCAAAATGGTTGCTCACTAGCCAAGTTGTCATCAGAAGAAATAATATGCTTTTCAGTAGCCACCTCTAAAATTTTTGAAAAATCGCACACGTACTTGTAAAATAACACACATAAAAATGGTGGCCATTTTTCAAAATGGCCAACTACTCCCCAAAGTTTTATTAGACAATGTGCCATGCTTAAAGTATTCACATATCAAATATGAACAAAATTGCTCCACTACTTTTCGAGTTATAGTAAAATATGTTAAAATGGCGGCCATTTTTCATAAAAATTTTCAAAATGGCCGCCTTCTACCAAAAGTGTCATAGGACAGTGTGCCATGCTAATAGTATTCACATACCAAATATGAACAAAATCGCTCCACTACTTTTCGAGTTATAGTAAAATACGTTAAAATGGCCGCCATTTTTCAATTTTTTTTTCAAAATGGCCGCCTTCTACCAAAAGTGTCTTTAGACAGTGTACAATGCTTATAGTATTCACATACCAAATATGAACAAAATCACTCCACTATTTTTTGAGTTATAGCAAAGGTCGTAAAATGACGAGTAAAGGCCGCCATTTTTCAAGATGGCTGCCATGTGCTTCTTTAATATCTACATTTGTAGCATTATTAATGTCCTTTATAATTTTTTTACATTTAAAACATATTGATATAACAGTTTTACATATTGCACCTAAATTACTGTAAAATCGGCACTAAAATGGCCGCCATTTTGAAATGAGCGGCCATTTTGAAAATCGGCTTTCGAGCAGAACTTCTACCCCAATAAGGTATATGTGTACAAAATATGAACAAAATCGGGCCAACGGTATTTGAGTTATTGCCCGGACGGACGGACAGACGGACGGACGGACGTACAGACGGACGTACGTACGGACAGACGTACGTACGGACGGACGGAGGCGTTCCCTATATCCCTCCGAACTTCGTTCGATGGGATAATAAAGATTGTAGGACATGATAAAAAGAGATACAACAAAATTTCAAAAATACTTTTCCTGATTTTAAAAGTTGGATGACATGTTTCAAAAAGGTGATGTTTGTTTGTTTCAAAATGCAAATATTTGGAGTAGAACATGCGTTTAAAATAAAACTGTTTGATGATATTAATCGAAACATGTAAAACTAAGCCTAACTGTTATATTGTTTGATTTAAAATCTAATATATCAATTTTGTCAGCATGAACAATTGATTTTCTTGCATATCTAATAGCTAGACGGCAGTTCAATTGAGTAGCAAATCCCATCAAAACCAAATTAGGCTTTCTCAAAACATTCTTAATTTTGATCTTTTGAATAAGGATCATCATAACAAATGTTAACCTGTATTAGCTTTCATTCAAAAGAGAGTCCCAAAAATCAGAAAAGTGTAGCGACCCTGGATAGCAAGTTGCTACGACAGCACAGCTATAGCTTTTATAGTTCAGTTTGTTGAGCATGAAGCTTTGGATGAAAGGGCCCTAAATGATTCTCACAGGGGCTTTGAATTTAGCACACTTCTGATTTGTTAAATTGTTATTAGTTAATTAAAACACAGAATTGAATTCTGCTATGCTCTGCATTTGGCACCCTTGGGTCATACAGTACTAACATCTCATTATTATGACAAAAAGCAGCATTTTAGAGCAGCCATTTTGCAAAATCTTTCTTGAGAGCTCCTATTAGCATCTGCTTCTACTGAATCAGTCAATCTGGCAACTGGTAACTGAGTAATCAACCAGACAGAAGGATAGGCAAAAGACAAATGTTGATTACTGTGTATCCTTTATGTGGAATAAGTTTTCAAGCAGCTCTCCATAGATCAATGTCATGACATCAATCAAATATATTAACTCATCAAATAAAACAGGGATAACTGACCTTTACATTGCAAATATGTATGTTGGCCACACACATGTATAATATACTTTTTGTTCACAAAATGCTACATCTTTCAAAGTGAAGTTTCTTTGGGATAACAGACTGCATACAATGAGGGACTCAAATTTTGTGATAATTAGCTTGTGTTTTTCACTGTTGCTTGTGACATCATCAGTAACGGCAAGGAATAATGGTAAGGCTTTATTTATATTTTCTATTATACATTCTAACACTATATCATAATAACCAGATATGATTGATTAATTTTGTTATAAACCACTAAGTGGAAATACTTGCTTTTCTGTTTTGTAACAAAGACTTATGGCAAATACATGTATATGACCTAAGATTTGATTTTATTACCTATTGTCAGAGACCTCAATTGTTTTGCAATAATAATAGTTGTCTTGCAATAATAATAGTCTTTTAAAAATGATCCGTCACATTCATGAACATTATTTTCTCAAAAATCAGAGAATTTTCCTTAATTACTGAAATAAATATTTCAACAGATGAAACAGAAAATGTAATAGAAATGCATGTATAAACATGATTGATTGAACTCAAATTCAGACAAAATAGCACAAAAACTGTTGAAGAGGTTCACTGATAGTTTGAATGCAAGAGATTGGGATGCTGTTAGTGATTTATATACTGATGACGCCACTCATGCTACTGCTACACAGCCGTATATCATTGGGAGAGAAGGTGCATACATATTATATTCATTTTATGAACACGCTACAATTTTGTATTATTGACTGCCAAATTATTCCTCACCCATAAACATAAATACACTCACACCTAAGAGGAAATAGAAGTCACCCCAACTGCATCAATCAAAGAGCTGCACTACACAGCAGCTTTTATACTCACAACAAATAAATCACTTCATTCCAGCAATTCTGGCATATTACCGTAAAAAAGCCAAACAGGGTTCTGATATTGAGCTGAGTTTAGACTTCTTTGAAGGCAGCAATAAGTTTGTGATAGCTGGTGGAGTTGGCAGGATCTTAAAAGATGGACAGCAGGTGGCAGTAAACAGGTAAGTTGTAAAATTGAAAATATCATAGAAACTTCTCAGGTCTTATAGTAAATAGAGTTCTCATGACGGATGGACTGAGGGACAAAGTGCTTTACAACATCCCTATTGACTATTCATTGTTAATCGACCATTCAAACTTCTTTTTTTCTGGGTTATTGTGAACCAATTTTTCCTTTCCAATGATTTTACTACAGGGATTGATCATTCTCACTTAAGCTGACCTACTTGATGTAAATAGGGCTAAATAATTATTATAATTTCATGCTCGATCAAGATATTAGTTTTTTAAACAGTAAGAGCATAACAATAGTTATGTGATGTTTTCAGTGAATCAACTTTCATAAACGTAATACTAAAGTACTATGTATCCATTAAAGCAGATATGAAATGATATTTTTAACCTAAAGGAATCAATATAATTTTTTGATAAATGTATTTGGACATGTTTTCTCATCAGTATTATAAAAATTATTTCACTCTAACGATTGTTATAGCTGCTTAATAAGCAATATTAGAATTAGTTGTGACATTATTGGCCCCACGTGATCTCTCACTGGTACCCATATGGCCCGTTTTGGTCCATTAAATCATGACGCCATAATACCAAGATGTTTTGTCATTTGTTTACACAACAAGCATATGGTTGCCTTGACGTTGTGACTAATAAACCAAAACTATATATTATGTATGACGTTACTAATCACGTGGGGGCCAATCTGATTGATCAGTTAATTTTATTATGATATTTATGACCAATAACAGTTATCTAACATTTAATTTATAATGGCTATCGCAAGAACTCTATGTTGGGCTTATAATGAAAAAAGCCGCATTTTGTTAGCTGCAAGTTGAGAAAACCTGTTTCAGTTGTCCTTTAATATTATTTATTAATATTTGAAACATAGCATACATATATTTTTAAGATTCATGAATGTGTATAAAAAGACTGATGGTAACTGGAAGATATGGAGATCTATGATCACTGCAGTCCCTGGTTTAGAGTTGGTACGTCCTGGCATTTAAAAGATGGAGAAGAAACAAAATACAAATGTACATATAAACACTAATAAAGAGACAAATTCGCATAACATAATGCTTCAATAGTTAAATATGTGTTTGTTTAGAAAATAAATCATATAGATATATCAATGTAATCATTGCAATATAAATATCAATGTATCAATCATCACAAATGAAGATTGCATTCAAATTGAAAATGGCCGCCTTGTAAATTATCGAGCACCAAACACATCTAATCACATCTTATCTTGTACTTGCATCAGTAAAAATTCCAAGATGAATGATTCCCTTTTTATACAATTTGCATAATTAAAATCAACTACTTGTACAGAGTAACTGTTTTTTATGGTTATTAACTGATGAGTGGTGAACCATGAACAAGAATGTCATTATCAATCAATCCATATCATTAAATAGTTTGACTTAGGTCCATATAAGTAATAAAAAAAAGTACCTACCACACTGAGGCTAATTCACGAAAACATACAACACAATGAGGGTCGCAACATTCGCAGGACTTGCGGTTACAAGTTTATTCCTGATGAGTATAAATTCACCAGTGGAAGCCAGAAGAACACTTTGTGGTGAGATTATATTGAATTTTGTTGCAGAAATAATTGTTTAAATATTAAAATATGTCATTACTGACATCAGATAAAGTCGCATAGATGCAGGAACCAACTTCCCACAATTTTCATAGCAGCTAGACACAACTTCCCACAATTTTCATAGCAGCTAGACACAACTTCCCACAATTTTCATAGTCATTCATAATTTATTTTAAATATGCTATCACTCACATATATTAATAAGCAGTAATTCATACCAATGGATAGTCTAATTTTTTTTTGTATGTTGAAAAACTAAGACATTGGTTGAAGAATAAGAGAGAAATGAACTCACAAGCGCAAAAAAAGAAGTTCAGAGAAAAAGGCATTTAAAATTTTTAATTCTTATTGAAACCAATGGTGCAGAAATGTTTTAAACATGATAAAAACTTCTTTTCAACTAATATCACTGTGGAGGAACTCATGAAGCAAGTTATGAAAACGGATCCATTTTTGTAAAAAAAATGGCGCAACCGTTATTTTATAAAATTTGTTTTTCCATGATTCTGTGAGATATATGCAAAATCATTACAACCTTACAAACAAGTTCGTAAGACTTCGAAATCATCAATATACTTCCTCACTTAAGTTACGTAAATGCACTCTGTAAAATAAGAAAACGGGCTTACATCTTATTTCAGTGGATACGAAAACGGATACAGTTCCTATATAATATACCAACTGGTCTGTGTTTCATACCACATTTTCAAGTTTTATTATTGTAATACCAGTATGAAAGTATTTCTAGTCCTACTGAAATAGGAAATATTGTCTGACAGACCTAGTCCCTCATAAGTAGGGTTGGGACGGTTCAAAATTGCACGATTCGGGTCGGGTACAGGTTGGGTCACAGAAATTCAATTCGAGTTCCAACTCGGGTCAGGTTGTATACATTAATAAACATAGCAATTCTTAAGTAATTAAGGCTGAAAAATTATATCAATTACTGCAATTGAGTTTTCCTCTCACAATAAAAACATGAAGTCAATTGATGTTCCATGTAATCTTAGTCACCTTCTTTAATGACAAGAGGCTATTGTTACTCAATTAATTGTTTCTTTAGCCTCATACTAATAGATACAGTTAGTTAGTTAGTTATATATTTATTAGAGTCTCACGCTGAATTTTTTACAATCATATAAAATCAATAAATAATTAAAACAGCAGCCCAGCCGGCATCGGCTTATGAGAGACTTAAAACTTGTAATCAGTCTGGCAAATAAGGATTTTTTCGCTGTAGCCAAATTTGTCCAGAGACATTAAAACACTCTGGCCCAAAAAAATTTCTGTCCCGCCATTATTTTGTCGAGTTAATTTTGTGTTCACCTAATTTTGACTGTAAAAATAAAGGAAAGAATATTCATTATTCTCAAAGCACTGCTATTAATTCTGAATTTTATCTAAATAACCACTATAAATCTGTCCAAATGTATTCATCGGTTAGGTAAAGATAATTAATTTGTATTCCTTTCCTCAGATCACTAACCAAAATAACTTACTTTTTCGAGCTTTCGGTAGCAGCTACTACCTTTGTCAAGATGATATATTGGCGGGAAATGGGCTGACCCTTGACCTTGTTTGGGTTTTACTCCTGTGTAGTTCCAACAGTCCCGGGGAAACCTTAAATCCAGAGTCCCTGTTAAGTTGTGGCTTGCTTGTATGAATATGAAGTGCTTCCTTTACTTTCCGTTTAAAGTAATGGGGTTCTCTATCTAGAATTTTGTACTCCCAGTTAATCCTATGCGCTTTGGAAACTATATGTTCAGCGATGGCGGATTTATTGGGATTGTTCAGTCTAAAAGCGACCTTGTGTTCCTTAACTCTTGTATCAATCGCTCTACCGGTTTCCCCTATGTAGAGTTCACTACAGTCCTTACATTCAATTTGGTATATTAATCCTGATGTCTCACCTGTGGGGGTGGGATCTTTGGGTGATACTAACATTTGACGTAAGGTCCGTCTGGGCGATAATATCTTCGTGTGGAATTTTCTTTGGCGTTACCGCGAAGTTAAGTCCTTTTTGAAGCAAAGTACGTTCCGATTCCGTCAGCGTATGGCTAGAGCGGTTGATGACCCATCGGTCTCGAAACTCTGATGACGAATTATCCAGGACGTTAAATAAACGAGCCACAGAGATAGTGTCTAACCCTACTAAGCTTAAGGATGAGCAGGCCCATATCACTCAAGCTCTCTCTCGTTGTGGCTACCCATCTTGGCTTCTAAACCAAGCACCAGCTACGCCTAGAGATAGACCTCCTAGTGACAGTGTAGATAGGGAAATTAGTGTAGTGTTACCTTATATTAGTACTATTGCTCCCAAACTTCAACGCATCTTTCAAGAAGCAGGAGTTAAGACTAGTTTTAAGTCTGTTCAAACCTTACGTCAAATGTTAGTATCACCCAAAGATCCCACCCCCACAGGTGAGACATCAGGATTAATATACCAAATTGAATGTAAGGACTGTAGTGAACTCTACATAGGGGAAACCGGTAGAGCGATTGATACAAGAGTTAAGGAACACAAGGACGCTTTTAGACTGAACAATCCCAATAAATCCGCCATCGCTGAACATATAGTTTCCAAAGCGCATAGGATTAACTGGGAGTACAAAATTCTAGATAGAGAACCCCATTACTTTAAACGGAAAGTAAAGGAAGCACTTCATATTCATACAAGCAAGCCACAACTTAACACAGGGACTCTGGATTTAAGGTTTCCCCGGGACTGTTGGAACTACACAGGAGTAAAACCCAAACAAGGTCAAGGGTCAGCCCATTTCCCGCCAATATATCATCTTGACAAAGGTAGTAGCTGCTACCGAAAGCTCGAAAAAGTAAGTTATTTTGGTTAGTGATTTGAGGAAAGGAATACAAATTCACTATAAATCTTATTTTCAATCGTCCTGAGATTTCAATGTACACAAGTACATGTAGTTGCGAAGGTGGTGTGATTTGATTAACCTAACACTTGATGGGGTATGGAAAGTCGAAACAGGAAGACGTTGAATTTCAAAATAAGACTGACAACGATACGGCATTACTGGGCGCTATTGAAAGTGAATATGGTAATCTATCGATCAGATTAAACTGAAAGTGAAAGTGGATTTGTTTCCATATCCAGTTTATCATTGTAACCACCTTTAATATGCGATGAACTGGTTCTTAATGTGCCCGGTATCTATCTTCATAGGATCAACTTCAAATCTAGTGTATTTAATCTCTCTACTTGATGGAGTAATTAAAAATACCCAGCGAGAACTCTGATAGACGAGGTCACTGTGACCGGCATTGATAGACCTACTGCGCAGTGCGTCTGCGCATCTCAAAAGAAATTAGGGGCCGTCTCAATGTAAGCTCCGTGTGAACTCTTTCTAGTAATACGAAGAGAGATAACTAATCCGGGAACTAATCTTGATAAACCCAGTGGTTGAGCAATCAAGGCAGGGTTTTAGGAGTTAATTTAAGATAAAAAAAGATCGCTAATGCTATTAGAATGCAGTATGACCTTATGTCTTGTTCGAACTGAGTTTTGTTTTGTTGCATTTTTGATTCACCCCCTAGCCACGTGCTTCGCCAGATAAACAAATAAAGGGATCGTAGCATTGATGTATAGATGGTTTTGATTGGTAGACATCGCTTCATTCTTAGTATTTCGGCCAATTAGAGCAGCGGTTCTATAATGATTTGGTTTCTTGTGTAAAAAGGAATATTTTAATTCGTATTGGTTCGCTAATATTTTGATAGATCTAGACATTGTTTTGCGATGATTTTTTGTGAGAAGATCAAGCAAATGTCGGGGATAAAACCTGTGAAGTTAGATTACATCCATCGCCAAAATTGTCGAGGTAGATCGCAACATCTATCGCCAAATTTTTTTCACTCCCTGTTTTTGGCATTTGGCGACCTCTTATTTGCCACACTGGTAATTACTAAAATAATTCTCTTCTTTTCCTTATCATGTGTCCAATGGTTTTAGCAAGTAATCGTTGTAGAGAAGTGGTAGTTAGTATTACACAATATTTAACAAGTGTTGGTAGTGAATCAAAATCGTGTACAGTCTGTTTTGCTTTTTCAAAGAGTGTTGTTCTTAAATCAGTATAAAAGTGAAAAAGTGCATCTCGTCTTCGACAGCATTTCTATTACAACAAGTACACAATCACTCATTAAGGGGGATACCGCTATACCGTCCGAGTTCAACGTTAATGGGAAGAGTGCCTGTTCTTAACTTGGCTAGATTGCTCCGTTCATGTTTATGCATAGGAATTCTAACATATTCCTCCGCCGTTACCATTTGTGTTTTATGTAATCGGTAAGTCCTGAGTTTATTTCCGTTTTCAGGATTATGACGGTCGTTCCAAAGTGCGGTATGCCATTCGTCGGCTTCGACCTCAATACGATGGTCTTTAAGTGATTGTAGTATAGATCTTACATCGGAGATTTCACCACCAGTGATAAGATTTGGTTTGTTTTATCTCGTAACAAACGCTGCATTTTATATTCCCACGAGTTATGCTGCGTCAGAGACCAAAGGTGAATTTTCTTTGTTATTCTGTGTTCTGACATGTTTTTGAGTCGACACCACAATCTCGTTGCTTCCACTTTTTGCTTAGTGTCAACTGAGACCCAACACATATCTCCTTGTGTAGCTATGTTTGACGCGTGTTGGCCGACACCTAAGTAGAAACGCCGGGCTTTGATACATCTTCATTGGCCAATTCATTCAATATTGAATTCATTCAATTCCCTACAGCATAGATATTGAAACTATAGAATAAAGTGATTGGAAAGAAGCTTCTCTGCAAATATCATTGTTGTGGGGGTGTGGGCTCACCGACTTTTGTGATGAAAATAAGCCTGAGTTGATTATGTTTTCAATATGGCTGCCAACCTGAGCATCGATATACACTACATTACTGCATGTACAGATTACAGGCCTCCTAGACTTCCCAAGTTTAATTTGAAGGGGGAAAACCAAGATGGCTGCCATTTAATGAAGGAAATATCAGAAGAAAAGTCGCTTCACTTTTAATTTTCACATTGAGCACAGATTTATGGTTTGGATGTTTTATTGATTCTGACTGTTCATCATAAGCGTCATGTAAAGAGATTATAAAATTGAAACCATAAAGCTGTGCTCAGCATTAATTTTGCAGAAATATATACAACTCCACCAACACAATATCCTAGATGCGAGTAGAAATAATCTTGATTTACGTCATTAAAAATTCACAATTCAGTCAACCTGTTATCATATTTGGAATCAACATGTAAAATTACATCTAGAATTGTGGTTTTGAAAAGAGTTTATAAACTTTGAAAATTTGATTTTCTTTGAAAATGTGACTTCTAGGTGGGGAGATTCCCCATAGACCCCATGTTGTAAAACTACAAAAAGTGAAATATATTTTCTTGTGTTGGGCAGATAATATTTTCTTTTACTGGACATATTTTAATTTGTATAACTATCACATACATAAGGGTAATTTGAAAAGTGAACCACTAAAACTGATGCATATTCAAGTTTAAGGGAATTTTGTAATACCTAGCCTTGCCCAAGTCGGTATTTTTTTACTAATCTGATCTTGAATTATTACCGCCTTGTACAATCCAATACATCTCCGCTGATATTATGCTGAGATATTCAATGTTTCGAGATTTCCGTAATACATTCGCTATCAGGGGTATCGCGAAACCTTATTGATTGACAGATGGCCTAGACGACACGACGTGTGACTTCAGGCTGATTGACCAATCAAAACGTTATCAGGTTGAGCTGCATAAACAAAGCAAACTTCCCATCTACGACTTGAAATTCAATGATCTCATCGAGTGTTTCTTTAGAGTTGCAATATCATTCATGAATATATTATGTAATTAAATGTACATTGGAATGTAAGTGTAAGAGTCATTAATATAAACTAAATCATGCGATTCAATGTTGATTTATTTTATAACTGATTTCGCGATGAAAATGCACGATGAAAATGTAGCGGTCATGCAGTCGTCGATCAGTGCTTCAATCTCAGCCTGTACATGTTCGATCATTTCAACGTTTATTGTTGAAATCTTATCACCTCCGGTTATCCAATCAATGCTCTGGCATCCACTAAACTCTGATTGATATTTATCTGATAAAATATTTGTATTTTCATGATGAATTTGTGCAAGATTTGTTCGTGAAAAGTGTACTTGTTTTTGACCGTGCATAATAATGAGCTAACGCTACAGGGCCGTCGTTGATTGGTCAAATTTTACTGACATCAACAAACTGTCGGTAAAGCACGTGGCTTTCTCTTGGGTACAAGGCGGTCATAATAGAAATCAAGATAAGTAAAAGAGACCGACTTGAGCAAGGATATGTAATACCCTGCCATGTTATTTCCCCCGAATCAGCCACCTGGTGGCGAAACTGGTAACTATCTACTCGCATCTGAGTAATTGAAGTGTCAAAATTGGTTGTTCAATAACTTTGAGTAACTGTAATCCCTTAATTATCCAGATAAACACTCATCAAGAAATACCATTCAATGTTTATACAAAGAAAGTAAGCGATGTTTTGGAGGATATGTTTCAAACTTGTTGTATAAATTATTCATTTAGTAATTGCTCTTGAATTTTTTTTCAATTCTGGCATATTGATATGCAATATCTTTGATGCCAAAATTCTTCATTAAGTGTGTTACAAATTGATATTCTTTGACTCTCAGAGAAATGATGGGAAGATTTGATAAAATGTGTAATTGAGTTGGTTTTTCAGACATTACAATATTGAATATTTTCTAAGTCGATTTCCAGACCCATTCCCAGGCTCATCCTTTGTTTATCCACTTAAGGAACAGTTGTATGATTGATTTCTCCATATTCTGCCAAAACTTTATTGATATCCATACATTTTCAAAAATGATATATTGAAATAAAAAATATGGACATTTTTTGGCCCACCCTGTATATGTACATGAGTACTTATACTTCATATTGCATATTTACTTATTTTTCAGAAAAAAAATTGAGTATGCTTTGGAATAATTTCATTGATACCTTCAATGACAGACACTGGAGTACTCTTCAACATGAGATATTAGCGGAGCAGTTCACTTATGCATCTGGCCATGGTGGGGTGCCCTACATTCAAGGCAGTGCAAGTACGAAAATATTTTACAATATTTATTTTACACATTAAACATTACGCAGTATGTTTACAAAATGGAAAAAATTAAAATGGTAATTAGATTATAAAAGTATTGACACAATGACATTCAAAGGAATGATATTGTTCTAAATGCATGTCCTTATACAGAAGACTAAGAAGACAGGGTGGCTATAAGCGAGACATTCCCTCCCAGTATATATCTTGTGAGACATTCCCTCCAAGGCAAGCCCATTATACAAGTGAGACATTCCCTCCTATCCATACCCATTATACAAGTGAGACATTCCCACCCAGCCATGTCCATTATACAAGTGAGACATTCCCTCCAAGGCATGCCCATTGTACAAGTGAGACATTCCCTCCTAACCATATCCATTATACAAGTGAGACATTCCCTCCTAACCATATCCATTATACAAGTGAGACATTCCCTCCTAACCATATCCATTATACAAGTGAGACATTCCCTCCAAGGCATGCCCATTATACAAGTGAGACATTCTTCCCAGCCATGCCCATTATACAAGTGAGACATTCCCTCCCAGCCATGCCCATTATACAAGTGAGACATTCCCTCCCAGCCATGCCCATTATACAAGTAAGACATTACCTCCAAGGCATGCCCATTATACAAGTGAGACATTCCCTCCAAGGCATGCCAATTATACAAGTGAGACATTCCCTCCTAGCCATGCCCATTATACAAGTGAGACATTCCCTCCAAGGCATGCCCATTATACAAGCGAGACATTCCCTCCCAGCCATGCCCATTATACAAGCGAGACATTCCCTCCCAGCCATGCCCATTATACAAGTGAGACATTCCCTCCCAGCCATGCCCATTATACAAGTGAGACATTCCCTCCCAGCCAAGCCCATTATACAAGTGAGACATTCCCTCCCAGCCATGCCCATTATACAAGTGAGACATTCCCTCCCAGCCAAGCCCATTATACAAGTGAGACATTCCCTCCTAGCCCTGCCCATTATACAAGTGAGACATTCCCTCCTAGCCATACCCATTATACAAGTGAGACATTCCCTCCCAGCCAAGCCCATTATACAAGTGAGACATTCCCTAATAACCATGCCCATTATACAAGTGAGACATTCCCTCCAAGGCATGCCCATTATACAAGCAAGACATTCCCTCCAAGGCATACCCATTATACAAGTGAGACATTCCCTAATAACCATGCCCATTATACAAGTGAGACATTCCCTAAAAACCATACCCATTATACAAGTGAGACATTCCCTCCAAGGCATGCCCATTATACAAGTGAGACATTCCCTCTCAGCCATGCCCATTATACAAGTGAGACATTCCCTCTCAGCCATGCCCATTATACAAGTGAGACATTCCCTCCAAGGCATACCCATTATGCAAGTGAGACATTCCCTCCAAGGCATGCCCATTATACAAATGAGACATTCCCTCTCAGCCATGCCCATTTTACAAGTGAGACATTCCCTCTCAGCCATGCCCATTATACAAGTGAGACATTCCCTCCAAGGCATGCCCATTATACAAATGAGACATTCCCTCTCAGCCATGCCCATTATACAAGTGAGACATTCCCTCCAAGGCATGCCCATTATACAAGTGAGACATGCCCTCCAAGGCATACCCATTATGCAAGTGAGACATTCCCTCCAAGGCATGCCCATTATACAAATGAGACATTCCCTCTCAGCCATGCCCATTATACAAGTGAGACATTCCCTCCAAGGCATGCCCATTATACAAGTGAGACATTCCCTCCAAGGCATACCCATTATGCAAGTGAGACATTCCCTCCAAGGCATGCCCATTATACAAATGAGACATTCCCTCTCAGCCATGCCCATTATACAAGCGAGACATTCCCTCCAAGGCATGCCAATTATACAAGCGAGACATTCCCTCCAAGGCATGCCCATTATACAAGCGAGACATTCCCTCCTAACCAAGTCCATTATACAAGTGAGACATTCCCTCCCAGCCATGCCCATTATACAAGTGAGACATTCCCTCCCAGCCATGCCCATTATACAAGTGAGACATTTCCTCCCAGCCATGCCCATTATACAAGTGAGACATTCCCTCCAAGGCATGCCCATTATACAAGTGAGACATTCCCTCCTAGCAATGCCAATTATACAAGCGAGACATTCCCTAATAACCATGCCCATTATACAAGTGAGACATTCCCTCCAAGGCATGCCCATTATACAAGCGAGACATTCCCTCCTAACCATACCCATTATTCAAGTGAGACATTCCCTCCTAACCATACCCATTATACAAGCAAGACATTCCCTCCAAGGCATGCCCATTATACAAGTGAGACATTCCCTCCTAACCATACCCATTATACAAGTGAGACATTCCCTCCAAGGCATACCCATTATACAAGTGAGACATTCTTCCCAGCCATGCCCATTATACAAGTGAGACATTCCCTCCTAACCATATCCATTATACAAGTGAGACATTCCCTCCAAGGCATACCCATTATACAAGTGAGACATTCTTCCCAGCCATGCCCATTATACAAGTGAGACATTCCCTCCTAACCATATCCATTATACAAGTGAGACATTCCCTCCAAGGCATGCCCATTATACAAGTGAGACATTCCCTCCTAACCATACCCATTATACAAGTGAGACATTCCCTCCAAGGCATACCCATTATACAAGTGAGACATTCTTCCCAGCCATGCCCATTATACAAGTGAGACATTCCCTCCTAACCATATCCATTATACAAGTGAGACATTCCCTCCAAGGCATGCCCATTATACAAGTGAGACATTCCCTCCCAGCCATGCCCATTATACAAGTGAGACATTCCCTCCTAGCCCTGCCCATTATACAAGTGAGACATTCTTCCCAGCCTTGCCCATTATACAAGTGAGACATTCCCTCCTAGCCCTGCCCATTATACAAGTGAGACATTCCCTCCAAGGCATGCCCATTATACAAGTGAGACATTCCCTCCTAGCCATGCCCATTATACAAGTGAGACATTCCCTCCAAGCCATGCCCATTATACAAGTGAGACATACCCTCCTAACCATACCCATTATACAAGTGAGACATTCCCTCCCAGCCATGCCCATTATTCAAGTGAGACATTCCCTCCAAGGCATACCCATTATACAAGTGAGACATTCCCTCCTAGCCAAGCCCATTATACAAGTGAGACATTCCCTCCAAGGCATGCCCATTATACAAGTGAGACATTCCCTCCTAGCCATGCCCATTATACAAGTGAGACATTCCCTCCAAGCCATGCCCATTATACAAGTGAGACATTCCCTCCTAACCATACCCATTATACAAGTGAGACATTCCCTCCCAGCCATGCCCATTATTCAAGTGAGACATTCCCTCCAAGGCATACCCATTATACAAGTGAGACATTCCCTCCCAGCCACCCCATTATACAAGTGAGACATTCCCTCCAAGGCATACCCATTATACAAGTGAGACATTCTTCCCAGCCATGCCCATTATACAAGTGAGACATTCCCACCAAGGCATGCCCATTATACAAGTGAGACATTCCCTCCAAGGCATGCCCATTATACAAGTGAGACATTCCCTCCTAGCCCTGCCCATTATACAAGTGAGACATTCCCTCCCAGCCATGCCCATTATACAAGTAAGACATTACCTCCAAGGCATGCCCATTATACAAGTGAGACATTCCCTCCTAGCCATGCCCATTATACAAGTGAGACATTCCCTCCAAGGCATGCCAATTATACAAGTGAGACATTCCCTCCTAGCCATGCCCATTATACAAGTGAGACATTCCCTCCAAGGCATGTCCAATTTACAAGCGAGACATTCCCTCCCAGCCATGCCCATTATAGAAGTGAGACATTCCCTCCTAACCATACCCATTATACAAGTGAGACATTCCCTCCTATCCATACCCATTATACAAGCGAGACATTCCCTCCCAGCCATGCCCATTATACAAGTGAGACATTCCCTCCTAACCATACCCATTATACAAGTGAGACATCCCTCCTATCCATACCCATTATACAAGTGAGACATTCCCTCCCAGCCAAGCCCATTATACAAGTGAGACATTCCCTCCAAGGCATGCCCATTATACAAGTGAGACATTCCCTCCTAGCCATACCCATTATCTTACACAATTCTACAGGGATAGGAAATCTTTAACAACATTAGAACAATTGAAGGTACTATAAATGTTTACAATTTAGTTTCTAAGCAATTTCTGATTCTCATTAAAGGCTCTCCCTGGGAGTTTATTTTCTGATATCCTGTATTCATTGTGAATAATTATGATCATACAATACAGATAGTACAGCATACTTTAAAAGACTTGCTGCAGAGAACTACACTATGGCAATCACTCTAGATTTCTGTTCAAAGGGCACTAAGTTACTGGTTGGCGGAGGCGTCCTCGTATTCACTAATAAAGATGGTATTAAGATGGCCTTCAGGTAAAACTCTGTTAGTTTAGAGACAACTACCTAGCTGTGAATGGTTGAAGACATTCTGAAACTCATTGCATCTTTCTGTTTCATCTCAGGGCTGAGAAGAAATGAGATGTCATGGTTTATCATGATGGCTTGAAGGGGCCATTTCAAAGTCTTACCACTTATTACTATATATTATGCATACTGCGCTTTGCTGTACTCTACTGTTCTATACTATAATGTACTGTACTATAAGTGCAATATTATAAGTCATACCAATTCTGAATTAAAATTTCATATTAGCTTTGTTGATGTGAAGGCATCCTCCGAACACAGGCCTCCAGAACTCGTACCTCCTTCTTCCACCCTGCGATCAGCTGGTTACTATCTTCCGGGAAAACGGGTCACTTGTTCAAGCTCATTTAAATATAGGTCATCAAATACGTGAATCTGACCAATCAAATTTTGCCGTTTACTTACAATAACAACATTGTGAGCCAATGAAATTGCGCGTTACAACAAAGTTTTCTGACGAAAAATGGCGAATACGAAAAATAGAATTTCCAAAGATATTACTGCGAATATATGTATAAGTTAAAGATTACTACACTCAATGAGTTTCAGTCCGAAGCAATAGGACACTTACTTTCAAATAAGGACTTTTCGTAGGCACAAGTACGGGGAGTGGGAAATCAATAGTATATTTTGGACTAGCTGCCATTGGGAAAAAAGTTCTTGTAATTTCTCCCCTACAAAGTATTGTCAAGGAACAAGTAGACACCTTACAGTGAAGAAGGAAGGAACTTTGTGAATGATGTCTGGAACCCTGCGTTCGGAGGATGATGTGAAGGAGACATATATTTGTTTTCTGTTTGGAGTGCCATTTTAAGTTGGTCATAACAGCATATACACCCCCAAAATGCAATCTGATTTTCGATGCCGTTTTGGTGCCAAATTTCGGTGCTTTTTCGGCACCAAATGGACTGACTAGTCCGGTAGCAAATTTTGGTGTCGAAAGGTTTCAGAGCCGGAACGGTGTCGAATTATATTGGCTGTGTACTGAACCAGACACATCAAATACACGTAACAGTTAATTCATGCTTTGATGTATCATGGTCTTGGTATGAAATGTTTAAACCTAATCTTTGCCCAAACTGTTCTTCACAAAATATTAACCATTTATCATTTTGACAGAAATTGCACGCAGAATAAATGCATAAAAATGTAACTTCATTTATTTTAGATCAATGGTTGTCTTTAAGAAATATAAATATAATCAGTGGAAAATGTACAGGTCAATAGATACTAAAGTAGCAGAGTTAACTACAGGATGAGACTCTACTGGAAAGACCATTAAGAAAACACAAACAGCTAAGAAAAATGAACATTAAAGTGATAAAATTACTAAATGAGAATATATTGTAAATATTCTGTCCCAATGTGTTCTTCACAAGTGGTTTTAACTCATAAATGAACATTGAGTAACTCTGATAAATCATAGGTGAACATTGAGTAACTCTGATACATCATAAGTGAACATTGAGTAACTCTGATATATCATAAGTGAACATTGAGTAACTCTGATATATCATAAGTGAACATTGAGTAACTCTGATATACCATAAGTGAACATTGAGTAACTCTGATATATCATAAATGAACATTGTTTAACTCTGATATATCATAAGTGAACACTGAGAAAGTATGATACATCATAAATGAAAATTGAGTAACTCTGGTGTATCATTAATGAATATTGAGTAACTATGATATATCATAAATGAACATTGAGTAACTATGATATATCATAAATGAACATTGAGTAACTCTGATATATCATAAGTGAACATTGAGTAACTATGATATATCTTAAATGAACATTGAGTAACTCTGATATATCACAAGTGAACATTGAGTAACTATGACATATCAACAAATTGATATACAAGGCATTAACATGACAAAATGTCACCACCTAAAACAATTTGGTCAATTTAAAGCAAGTTGGAAAATACCTTTTGACCTTAAGAAGGTTTGATTTGAACTTCTTAGAACATGTAGATGATTTTGAAAAAAAAATTCGTCAATTTGAAGCAAGTTGAAAAAATACCTCTTTGACTTTTTTTGACATTGAGAAGGTCATTGAAGGTCAAATGTCAAATGTAAAGTCAGACTTGAACTTCTGAGAACATGTAGATGATTTTGAAAAAAAAATTAAGTAAATTTGAAGCAAGTTGAAAAAAGACCTTTTTGACCTTGAAAAGGTCATTGAAGGTCAAATGTCAAATGTAAAGTCAGACTTGAACTTCTGAGAACATGTAGATGATTTTGAAAAAAAAATTAAGTAAATTTGAAGCAAGTTGAAAAAAGACCTTTTTGACCTTGAAAAGGTCATTGAAGGTCAAATGTCAAATCTAAAGTCAGATTTGAACTTCTGAGAACATGTAGATGATTTTGAAAAAAAAAATTAGTCAATTTGAAGCAAGTTGAAAAAAGACCTTTTTGACCTTGAGAAGGTCAAAGGTCAAATCTAAAGTCAGATTTGAACTTCTGAGAACTTGTAAAAAGTCAAATTTGAACCTCTGAAGAGATGTAGATGATTTTGAAAAAAAAAATTTGGTCAATTTGAAGCAAGTTGAAAACAGACCTTTTTGACCTTTTTTGACGTTGAGAAGGTCATTAAAGGTCAAATGTCAAATCTAAAGTCAGATTTGAATTTCTGAGAACATGTAGATGATTTTGAAAAAAAAAATTAGTCAATTTGAAGCAAGTAGAAAAAGACCTTTTGACCTTTTTTGACCTTGAGAAGGTCATTGAAGGTCAAATGTCAAATCTAAAGTCAAATCTAAAGTCATATTTGAATTTCTGAGAACATGTAGATGATTTTGAAAAAAAAATTTAGTCAATTTGAAGCAAGATGAAAAAATACCTTTTTGACCTTTTTTGACATTGAGAAGGTCATTGAAGGTCAAATGTCAAATCTAAAGTCAGATTTGAATTTCTGAGAACATGTAAATGATTTTGAAAAAAAAATTTAGTCAATTTGAAGCAAGTTGAAAAAAGACCTTTTTGACCTTTTTTGACCTTGAGAAGGTCATTGAAGGTCAAATGTCAAATCTTAAGTCAAATCTAAAGTCAGATTTGAATTTCTGAGAACATGTAGATGATTTTGAAAAAAAATTTAGTCAATTTGAAGCAAGTTGAAAACAGACCTTTTTGACCTTTTTTGACCTTGAGAAGGTCATTGAAGGTCAAATGTCAAATCTAAAGTCAGATTTGAAGGTCAAATCTAAAGTCAAATCTAAAGTCAGATTTGAATTTCTGAGAACATGTAAATGATTTTGAAAAAAAATTTAGTCAATGTGAAGCAAGTTGAAAAAAGACCTTTTTGACCTTTAGAAGGTCATTGAAGGTCAAATGTCAAATGTAAAGTCAGATTTGAACTTCTGAGAACATGTAGATGATTTAGAAAAAAATTGAAGTCAGTCTAAACAGTATTTGTTAAGTTATAGGAAGTTGTAAGAAATTGTTACAGACGCCGGACGCCAACCTCCAACCGCCGGACGCCAACCGCCGTCGCAAAAAAAACGGAGACCACAACAATATGTCACCACTTTTGGTGGTGACATAATAATGGGAACTACAAATGAACAATGAGTAACTCTGGTATATCATTAATGAACATTAATTAACTATGGTGCATCAAAAATGAACATTGAGTAACTATGATATATGATAAATGCACGGACATTGAGTTACTCTGGTATATCATGGGAACTACAAATCTTTAACTGTCTAATTAGGTATAACTGAACAATATGTCATTCAAAATCTAAAATGATCACCTTTAAGTTTACCTGACATTGAAGAACTAATACCTGAAGCTCTCAAATGAATCTAACAAATGGTTAGCAGGGAGATATATAAACAGGACTTTACAAGTGATCTCACCCACATAATTCACCAAACTTGCAAACTAATTTCAATATAGCACCCAGCCAAAGGTGAAATAAAAGGTTTCAGAGGGTTTACTATTTTGTCAAGTATCATTACACAATGTGAACATTCAACATTAAGACAGGTTAACAATGCCTTATCACAATAATAACTTACATTTATCTCCTCTTAATAGAACAATGCCCTATCACAATAATGACTTACATTTATCTCCTCTCAATAGAACAATGCCTTATCACAATAATAACTTACATTTATCTCCTCTCAATAGAACAATGCCTTATCACAATAATAACTTACATTTATCTCCTCTCAATAGAACAATGCCTTATCACAATAATAACTTACATTTATCTCCTCTCATTAGCCTGCTTTTCAGTGTCAAATTGTACTAACTTCAAAAAAATTCAAAAATAAAATTTGACTTTGTCCTATGTACCATCTTTCCAATCAAATTGTTTGAATTACATCATTTGACTAGGAATTATTATATTACAATTTTAAACTGAGATTTGAATTTATTTTTGTAAAAAAAATGAATAGAAAAATTTACATGGCGAAATGGAAGCTCATCTTTAATCCTTCAATGTTACGAAAAATTGGGAATTGAATTGTCATATCTCCATTTTTAATACTATGCTCAAAAACTGCTTTAGAAAATCTTAAAATTAGTATTTCTTTTATGACAAAAACAATGTATAAATTTCACACATGCCCGATAGATACTATTGAAGTTACAGATGTCTAAACTTTCAAAAATTTATTTTTCAGTTTCACAAAAATGTGAGTTGGGACATTACTATTCTGATAGGGCGAAATGTATAGTCTAAACATATAAAAATAAGAATTGTTTTTTCAAAATAAATAGTGTGTTCCTTCCGAAAAATATTCACCTACAGAATCCTTGGACTCTTACTTCAAGGATAGTATTCTCAAATAAAGCAAAAGTTTTGCTAATATAGGCCAAAAATCTCTAAAGTATTCATGTGAGTTTAGCTGTTAAATCTTCACCCTTCCACCATCTGCTTTTCGGAATTTTTTCGTTTGTAAAACACAAATTCCCATGGGACGAAAAAAAGACTAGAAAAAATATCTGGCACAGACGGCACACGTGCACATGCGGGATTGTGCGCATGCGGAATTTAAATCAATCAGATTATTTTATATATTTCCTTCCAGCGATTTTATTCACTCCTGAGCACTTATGATAATAAAAATCAAACCACAACAGAGGGAGAATGCCCCTTTTGGGTACCTCAGTAATCGAAATCTGAACTCACATTCGTGAGAAATGAATCATTCATACTCTGCGATGAAGCTGCATACAAGGAAATACAGATGAGTTTATGTTACGGTTTATCTTACTAGACATTCTATGGAAGCCCTTTAATAACATACTCAGGAAGGGACATAGAAAAACTTGAATTAGCACATAGAACAATTGGTAAGCGTATTCAATGCCTACCAAAATTCTCAGACAACATTTTTGCCACCGAGCCTCTGGGTTGGTTGAATTTAGAATTCAGAATTGTAATAGATAAACTGATGTTTTTCTTAATGCTAATGAAATTGCCAATCAAAAATATTTACAAACAAATCCTCATATTTCGAGCCTCCAATTAGAGCATAATGGTAACATCGGAGTTGTATCCCCTATTCATACGATTTGGAATACTCTGATAAGGTTCAATTTGTTGGACATGGCAAAAAAACATATTAAACACTGGTATTTATCCCTCAAAATCAGAGTGGCACAAATTAGTATTAGGACGGGTAAGATACACTCAGAAACTTAACTTAATGATTACATGTAACTGTACTTTGAAATATTCTACCCATTTGTATATTCGAATAAGATGTTCATTTAAACCACTAATCTGGTGGGTACTGTGCAACAGATATCCTAATAAATGCATGTATTTTAAACTTTAGTTAAGCTCTTAACAAACCAAACATTGAATGGAAACAATAAATGGGGCAATAAAAAATGCCTTATATGTAGTTCTGGCGAGATTGAGACATTAGAACATTTTACTATATTTTGTAGCTCTCTAGATACTGGAAGGGTAGCTCTACTAGCCCTTTTTAAAATGAGAGAAGATAATGTACTCCAGATTTTTAAAGAGGATGATGATTTTAATATGATTTTAAAGGCCAAGGCAATTTATTTTATGTATAAAAAACGCAACCTGTTGATGTAAATATGTTTGGAAAAAAAATATTGAAAATTGTAATGTACTCACATAGAAATAATGTGGTAATAAAGGATACAATACAATACAATACAATACAATAAAGGAGAGTATGGAATCTCAAATCACCTATATCTAGGAGTATTGACAAAAATTCACTTATGTTTTATTTTCCAAGAGGATCATATGGACCATTTACACCTTTTAATACAACCATTGTAGCTTCTAATAAATATTTCCTACCTGTATATTCTTCAGGTATAT